CCCCCCACCACCCCTGAAGTTCCGTACTGAGTGAAGGAGGGAGGATCACCTCACGGTGAAAGGTGACTCAGGTTTTATCGCCGTGTGATTTTAGGTCACTGGCTGCAGTTAGGCTCTGTATGTGTATTTACTGTTTCTCTGGTTTCTTTAAATAATCTCTAATATTTATCTCTAGATGTTCCGGTTCACTGGGGTCACATAGTTGCGTGGAAACATGCCCGTCTGTCCGTGGCAGGCTCCCTTCCACCAGTTGGGGTCAGAATTGTCAAGGACTTGGATAAAGTCTCCACGGCGGAAGCCGAGCTCTCCTTCCTCCTGGGGATCAAAATCAAACAGGGCCTGAACATACGTTGGTTGCTGAAAGGGGAAAGAAAGAGATACACAAAGTGAGAATCATCCACAGCACTCGAGACACTTGCTCCCTCAGGTAGAAGCTTAACTTACACTGGAGTTTAACAATAAACATTCAGGCTGTTTCATTTCCCTGCAAGCCAGCTTCCAACATCTGTAACAAGATGCTTGAATAGGAAAGCATAGTCTATAGAAGACTTTAGAAAAAAGTCAAGTTCCTGTGCAAGAGCCGAAACAAAGATAGCAGATGACCTGGATGTTTTCCTAGTATTTTCCAGTCTTCATGACCTACTGTAAATCTGTACTCTACTGCAATACAATGGTCTTGTTGCTTATTCATCCTGTTTTCACCAGCTGACAGCACAAATATTACTAATCTACCTAACACTGTCAAACACAAAGTTCCCCCTAAAAAATGGATGCTGGCATTTTATGCATTTTCCTTAAAACTCTCCAGTATTGAGAAATCCTGTCGCATTTTGCCTGGTCAGCAAAAGCTTCCATTCTTACGGAAAAGCTAACAGTTAATTTAAAATGCATTTGCATTCTTAAAATCATGAGGCTAGGAAGGTATCTTCACACTTGTCATTTTCAGCCAGCTGTTTTCTCATTCTGTTTATCACTGACCCGACAGTGCAGAGCCAGATGTTATTTCAGACAAACTGTGGCAAAGGGTGCCCCGTGGCACCTGGAGAGCAGTACAAGTTCCACACCCCTTGTCTTCAAGCTAGAGTGCTGCACATGAAGGCAAAAGGATTTATCCAAAATCGACAAAAGGTCCAGTTACATCCAACATAACATTTTGATTGCCCTGGGAAATGGAACAAAAGAAAGAGCTAGATATACTCAAGCTGCTCTGCTGGCACTTAGCAGTAGCTTTTGGTTTCTCTTAACACTGGCTAGATCCAAACCCAGCAGACTAGCGATGTTCCATATGCTACTACCTGTAACCATCTCTTCAGGAAAGACTAGCACCAAAGCTCCACTGGCTACAGAGGGGTACATTTCTGGCTATGAACCAGTACAAGTAGAACTATCCTTTCTTACTATGTCCTAAACCAGGAGTAAACCCATTTTCAAAGCACAGGAATCGAATTGCCTTCCTGCAACAGTATCCATAAACATTAAGACAAGCCAAGTGTTCAAGCAGCAACAATAACACTTTGCCAGAACTGAAGGGAAGACTAGGATTTAGCAGGTAGGCTTTGCACAAACATCCAGCTTATTTTGCAGTATAATTCTGGCTGCAGGATCTAAAGATATGCTTCCACAGACAAGAAAAATGCCAGTCAGCTTCTCTCCATCCCTACTCATCTACTCTAAGATGCAATCGCACTTCAGACTGTGGTTTCAATAGTCTGAAAAGCACGCTCTGTGAGGACACCTCTCTTACCTGTGGCACCTGTTCAATGTCCCGGAGAAATATTTGCTGGTTCCTGGACACAGATGTGGATCTGTGATAATCTACCAGCTCGTTCAAAGAATTGAACTTCACCACCCAGAGGAAATACTTGCCAGCCCCATCTCTAAGCACCTTGAAGTGCTGCACATCATTTCCAAACCTGGGATGAAGAAATGAAGAACACAAAAAAAGCACATTATTAGTCACTGAATACTCTTCTTCTGGGATTGTCAGCACGGAGTCTGGAATAAAAAGGTCCTTCAGGGCACAGTGAAAACTATAAATGACACTGAGAATACAGATACCAATTAGCTGCTGTAGAAAACATGTCTGAAACCCACTTGTTAATTGTATTTTACAGAAAATCAGTACTCAGAGAGAGAGAGAATCCAAATACCGAATTTATTTTGAAAAAAGTCCTGCAAGCTTCATATGTGCTTTTCTTATAATAGCACGTCAGTTTAAAACCAGCTTTTCAAACCACTCTGAATTTGCAGAAGTTTGAAGTCTTTTGGTCAAGGATTTCTGGTGTCACAACACCTTCTCCTGGATTACATGCAATATTTCAACTTTTTATTTTACACAACATTGCCACATCCAGTACATGTACTTTTTGATGTATGTATGCAGTCACCCGAGTTGCTGAAGTCAGTACACAGAATACCTCAGACACATACCATGGGCTTTGCAGTACCAGTGCAAGGTCACATTAAAGTAACTGCACCACGTACCTTCCACTCCACATTCCCAAATGCAAGACGTTGGAGTCAAACAGGACAAGCACTTTGGTTTAGCTCTTCACACACAGCAACTTCACAACTCACTTGAGCCAGTTTAGGTTTGTGCTACTCTTGCTATGGTCCTGTACTTTTCACCACGTCAGTCCCTCCCTCACACAGCACCACTGGGTGCGTGTGATACTGCAATATGTAAGCACCAGTCCCATTATAGGTAAATTGCTGGGAAAACACTGCCACAGGGAGGGTAGGATTGTCTCTTCTGGCAGCCAGTCTGGACTTATGCAAAAGACTGTCTTGCAAAACAAAAGGATCACTCTGGTCCTTAAAAAAAACCAACCAAACAAAAAAACCCAACCACAACAAAACACCACAACCAGAATAATACAAAATGCTCGAAAAGGTGACGCTGCACATGTAACGCAGCAACTTAAATTCTGTGTTAACAATTCTTTCTGACAAACGATGGCATTCAGTTGAAGCTACCTTTCCAACAATTCTATTCTGAATAAAGGGGAACTCCAAAGAGGTCCATTGGGATTTTCCAGACAAATGGCACATCAGTATTTTTCCTTCAGTCTAAAACACTGAAAACAGGAGACAACTGTTCCCCACTTGGCATGCAGAGCTTCTATATATTGGCTGAAAAAGTAGACACTATCTTGACTACAAAGCTAACAAGAAACTCATGAGTACTGCCTCTGCTCTCCCTTCCTCAACCTGAGAGCTTCTCACCATTTCAAATCCTACAGATCACTGTTCAGGAAAAAGACTTTCCTAAATTAAACAAACAGAAAAAAAAAATCAACTGAGAAATTACCACCAGATGGCAACACTAAGCTAACAGGCAAGCAGAGCTATGCTATCATAACTTTATGTTTCTTAAAGGAATGCATTTTCTGGAATGAAGCTTCCATTCATATCTAGTACTCCAGCTCAGATGACTGTATCCAAGACAAAAACATAAACACCTCTTAAAATTGGTGGCTTTAATCCAGTTTCTTGGCATGACCCCGTGCTGCTGTACAGGAGGACAAAAATTTGGTTACAGACCAAAGATAACCAGAAAAAAAAAACCTGCCAAGACAGATCACCAATAGCCACAGAAAATAGAGCAAACTAGGAATCATGCATGAATAATCAAAAATTATTGTTAGGATTCTAAAGAAAATCTTGTTAATTTCTGGTGGGAAAAGGGAAGATTACAGAAAATAAAGAAAAAGGCAAAATCAGCTGCTGAGGACAGAATCCCTCCCACCCCCAACCCATGTTAAATTACATCACATACCCTTTCAAGTTTCTAATACCTCTATTTTACAGTGACTTCAGATGGGCAAGATAGGTAGTATGGTATTTGTGGGGGCCATGGCTAACTAGCAGGAACTCCTGCTGGTTCACAGCCAGTACTTCCAGTAAGGTTATTCAAGGATAAGAACTGCTCCTCCTCACTTCACTGTGATTAGACTGAGTTTCTCCACCAACGTGGAATGCAGTTGTGAGAGATGGAAGAGGCCTGTTTTCACAGCTCCATGTCCCAATGCTAGACAATACGAATATCCCTAAAGTATGTGCCAAGCAGACATGAAAAACATATTTGGAAGTGTACTACACAAAGAGAAAATAAGTAATAACTTGTACTGCAGAAGAGGAATGAAGAATGGGAGAGAACACGTACACACTGGGCACTTTGTGGCTGTAAGGAGGAGGAATGGGATCCAACAGATAGTGCCTGAGTCTACACAAGCCAGACAGCACCATGCTACTAGGTCAGCCCTCTAGGCTCATTACAAACCAGAGCATATAGATTTGTTCTATTAAAGAGGGAATAAATAAGTATCACTGGAAGAACAGGAATGCTATAGGGCATCTGGAAGATTATTCCTGCTCCTCAGCACTGACAATCACCTGTCCTTTACCCACAGAGTCCAAATGAGCAGTAGATGGCCTGATTACCACACACGATTGCTTCTGGGCATTACTTACTTGACTGAGAGGGAGAAGTCCCCAGGAGCACTCTCACTCTCCCTGATGAGGAAGGCACCATCATGTCTCTGTTTGCCTAACATCTCTTCAGCCTTCGCTCGGGGAATCTTTCCAAAAAACCACCTGTGGAGTGAGGAAAATAAAACAATAGGGAAAGTTAAGAATTTTAATCCTTTCATGGAAGAGCCAGACATAGATATTCACACAGAGATAAAATGATTCCTAACAGAAATAACTACACTGCACCTCACTGCCACTCCAATACAGGCTACTGAACCATGCAGCTTTCACAATGTTTTGTCCTGGCAATGAAGCAACCGTGACTTGATAAGCAGGTGCTTGCAATAGCCCTGTTTCACCCAATTTAGCAAAGCAGAGATGTGGTAAGAGTGAAATCCTCAAATTACAGGATTTATTTTCAGAGGTGGAAAAAAACCTGCTCAGAATTTAATGCATTATTCACATTGTTTTGCACCCTATTGTATCTGCAGTTTAGCATATCAAACATCACAATGAGAACCTAATGTACACAATTGCTTCACAGCAAAGTCCTGCTTTGTGAGACTAAGACGACCACCCTGGGAACTTGCTACAACCTTGGACAAAGTTAAAAAGTCTACTGTGGTCTGCACTGACATCTTAGTAATCAGGCCTCATAACCTAAAGTCAAACAGATTAAATGCCTAGCTCAAGCAAGAAACTCAAGCCCTTTCCTGTATCACTAAGGAAAAAAGTCTCATGTCTCTACATGCAAAGTTTTAATTGTCCAAACTTTATGATGCTATCAACTCCGAGACAACAAAGAAGTCCTGCACTGGTGGCTGGTCACTACTGAACTTACCTGTGATACAGCAGCATTTATTTCACTATTAGTACCCAAAGATAATCAGTGGGGAGTAATTACGATCTCCTTTATTACTTATGCTCCTAAGGAGAAGCCACCCATGCCTCAGTCATGATTCGCAGAGCAGACAATATAGAAAATTTAAGTTATTAAGGATTAAGCACATGTTAAGAAACATCATTATTTTAGCAGGTAGGAATCTTTAAAAAAAAAAAAGTGGTATTTGCAAAATGCAAGGGAAACACTGGGAGTTCACTCACAGGTTTCTCTTCAGAAACATCACAGCTGTGGAAAGAAGATCCTGTCTATGGATTGACCCATCCTGCACAAATCAAAAGTGCATTTCTTATCAAAACCAATTTCTAGTCTCTTTTAGATCAGGTGGTAAGATACAACTACTTCAGCAGAGAGAATGAGTAGCTTCATTCAGCAGCTAGTTGCTCCTGCAGCCCAGAGTCCAATTTTCTGACCCCTACCAGAGCACTGTGGTCAAAGACAGGTATTGTGTCCGAAAGCTAAGGCAGGTGCCAGGACTGGAGTTACATACAGACCAAGTGAGAAAAGTTCCCTCAAGGTCTCTCTGCTTCATTGCAGAGGAGTGCTGAGCTGGGCATGCAATTCAGTTCTAGGAAAGATGCTGACAGTACTTGTTCCAGTAGCCTATTTTCTTGCTTTCTCCTTGTCCTGGTTTCAGCTGGGATAGAGTTAATTTTCTTCCTAGTAGCAGGCATAGTGCTGTGTTTTGGATTTAGTAGGAGAAGAATGTTGATAACACGCTGATGTTTTTAGTTGTTGCTAAGTAGTGCTCACTCTAGTCAAGGACCTTTCAGCTTCCCATGCTCTGCCAGGCACACAAGAAACTGGG